GCCTCCTGGTCTCCTTCAGTGTGGTTCTTACTTCCTTTTTCTTGATCTAAAACTTTTTTAATTAACTTTATTCCTGGCTCTTAAAACATTGCCTCAGATCTCACTCTCCTTATGCCCCTTGGTGCAAATTTTTTCTTCTAAGGAAGCAATAATTGATGGTATGCATGGACCCTGATGGATTCGCACTGCCAACACTCACTCAGCCCTCTGAGTGAGTGGGACACAAAGGTGTGCATCATATGCTCCGCTATGTGTGTTGTTGTGTGTGTGTGGTGTGTAAGATGAGTTCTCACTATGTTGCACCGTTGGTCTCAAACTTCCACAGATCAAGTGCTCCTCCCTCCTTGGCGCTCCAAGAGCTGGGATTACAGGCATGGCCACCATACCAGCCCTAAAAATCTTTTTTATTTGGTTTTTCAAAAGCTTATAGCTATTTTAGAGTACAAAATGCCTCCAATTTGCTATTCCATCTCTATGTTAAGTATACTGAGGTAGTTCAATTTATATATGCATTTACAGAAGGTGGGAATACCTCGTTAATAAGCTCAAATTTATCTGTGTTTAAGACCAATCATTTATTCACCTCTATTTGTTGGCACTAACTATGTTAGACATTTCTTAAACACTGATTGAGGCTCCTGCAAAGATAGAAATACATTGGTTTTCACAGCATGTATAAGTTCCCTGAAACATTTTGAAAGAAAAACATGGTGACCCAAGATATATGTTGTTACTAGAATTTATTGGTGGTACCAGGTAATGTCTCTGGACTAGGAAATTGGCATTACCACCTGATAACCATGGTTAGTTACAACAGCAGATTCCAATAGATTTCAGATGGCATGCAGGTAAATCCGACAGTGGTGTACATATACCAGTGCAGCAAAGCGGCCCATTCAGAGGTTTATTCCTCCTAGAGAAAGGCTACTTGATAATAAATAAATAATACCCCAAGCACCAGACGTCTATTTACTGCTAGCGCGATAACTGCAGCGCCTATAAATGTAATTAGTTCTATATAGAAGGGGCGGCAGACGCAGTGCCTTCAGGCCTACTCAGGATAGGGAGGATCGCCTCTGCAGGGAAGCTTGAGCTATAGGCCGGCGAGGCTCCCTATAGCCGAGGAGTCCCGGGGATCACGAGGCTCTGGTGAAGCAGGCTGAAGCAGATGGTGGAGCGCAACTACGTCAGGAGTTCTGAGAATCATGCGCTGAGCCCAAGGAGGCAACCTGAGAGATTCAAGTGTGCAGTCTGGCCTTTGACTTGGGATCTTATACACTGGCATGCTTCCAGGGTCGCATTACTTCTCCCCCGATTCTTCCTTTGGGGTGGGCTGTCTGCATGCACAGTGGCCTCCTAGCACTTGGTGGGGCTGCACTTGAAGTGTGTTTACTGAAGTTGTACACATGCTCACTTGAGGCGTTCTTCCCTTACCAGTCAAGCATTTCCAGAGAAAGTTCATATACCAGTTAAACTCTGCTATTTTGCCTCTTAGTGCACATGCTTGAGCCCAGTTGCTCAACTCCTGAGATCTTATCGGGAAGATGCTGATCACCAGTTTCAGGCATTTCTATCTATTGGGAGACTGTCTATCCCTGCCGCCAGCTGCGACTAATTATTCTTTTAAAGAGACAGTGTAACCACTGACTGACCACTACCTGATGGTCACCTGACATTCCTGATGGGGGAGAAGCCTCTCCTGCTCTGCTCATATCAGACTAATTACCTACTGTAACAGTAGGATCTCTGGAGCCTCGGAGTTTGAGGCTGCAGTAAGCTGGGATCATGCCACTATACTCTAGCCTGGGTGACAGAGCAAGACCCTGTCTGAATACATATATATATGTACACACATACACACACACACACACACACACACACATATATATATATATATTTGAAAGCCTAGAGTTTCACTTCTCAGAGCTTGGGTTTTTGGAAAGTGTAAACCAAAATTAAATTCTAAATACCCCAACTAACTGAATAGACTCCACTTCTTGAAATTGCCTTCACAAAAATTATAAAAGTGAGAAAATTATGACAGTGAGAGATCTAACCAACCCGCATCTTGCCTTTAATCTCCAAACTGCCCTTAATTATTCTTGGGCTTGGGCCAAGCTAACTTTGAGAGACATTTAGTTTATAGTTTATTTATTTAGAGACAGGGTCTCACTCTGTTGTGAGGCTGGAGTGCAGTGGTGTGATCCCGGCTCACAGCAGCCTTGATGTTCTGGGCTAAGTCTCCCAAGTAGCTGGGACTCCAGGTGCACGCCACCACACCTGGCTAATTTTTGTATT